CGTGCACCGCTGAATCGTTGACAAAGAACGTGTATTAAGAATGTAAACACAGTCAGGTTTGATTTCCTGTCGACTTTAAACCTCAGTGAAAGAGCTGGTCAATTCTGACGATGCGGCGCACTATAGGAGATTGCGAACTAAGCTTGGGCCACATGGGCAAAGCAATGTGGCAGAACATTAACTCATTAAGCGAACGCACGTCTCCTCGGCGGGACTGCATGTTATTGCATATTATAGAAGTCCACAGTTTTAGACGGGAAATCTATTTGCTCGGTGCCAGGCGGTAACATGGATATTTCTCAGCTTTCTTCTTCTCAGCTCCACACCTCTGCTGATGATGCAAGTCTTATCACAGTGCCGATAGTACGCAGCCTTGCATTAGAGCCGTTTCCCGCTGCCTTTAAAGCCCCCTCCCTCAGAACAGAGCCCCAGGGTTATTTACAAGCAGTGCTACAGAAATCTAGGTTAGGCTGCAATTGAAGTGTGAACTATTGCACACTGCAGCAGACAGTGCCTCCAAAGACTGAAGCAGCTTACTGGAAAATAAACAAGAGATCTGCATGTGAGCGAGAACAAAAAAAAAAGAAAAGACATGTTTGTGGTAGTGGCAGCCACCAACTCGGGCTCTAGCGTCATCTCAAATCCAATCACCCTACAAGATTACGTGTCTGATTACGAAAGCATGGGAGTTATGAGGGGTCCAGTGCATAACTCTACACTGGGAATTTTCCCGAGGGCGCACCTTTTCCGCTCAGCCTCGCCTCACGGACCGCACCGGTATGGCGTAATCCAAGTTTAAGGCTTTATTTACGCAAAGCCCAAATAGGTACTTTACAGACTCAACCCTGCAATCATCTACAATAAACTTTCAGGCACCTGTCCGCCCGGGGGGTGGGGGGGGGGGCGGCTCATACTTCGTCTATTTTTATAACCCAACAACAATGAAGTCACATGTGCAGGAAATAAATCAATATTGTCATCCTCTACTAACGTTTTCTCAGCACTCCTCCAGAAGGGTTGCACCATAAAAGGACGTTTTTACAAGGTGCATCAGGAATAAATATCTCCGCGGACTGGTTAGCTCAAACAAATTAAGGCATAAATGAACAAGCAAATACAGAGCCAAGAGAGTTCTTCTCAGGGGCAAAGTGAATCAATAACACTCGACAAGTGCAACAGTACAACAGACCAGAACATCTTCTGCAAGACGATCAGCCCAAAGGGTATTGCGATACCTGCAATCACAATTAAATTAAGGGCACATGAGGAAAAAAAAGAAAAAGAATTGGGGCAAATTAGCCTCCCACCACAGACTTTCAATAGGGTTCCTAGTTCAATATAGAAATGGCAGTACGAATATGAAACTTACAGAAGAAACAGACATGTTGTGTTGTAAGAGTACTTGCACAAGAAAAAAAAAGGGCAGGAAGGAAACTTATACCTGTCCTCTAATTTTATCCCCCTTTACTCACTGGTTTTTCCCTTGGGAAGGAATGAGGGGGTTGCAGAAAATAGACTCAACTACATGCCAAGGCAGAGATATGGCCTTATTCCAGAACAACTCACTTTAAACCTCGTCCATATGAGACATTCAGTGACTAAACGTCCAACCGACTCAACACGGAGAAAATTATGTGGGAGTTTTTGGTTTTAAATCTGGGTTTGGAACACGACTAAAAACTAGATGTACAGTTTATAACGTTAAGTTTCGAGTCAGATGGGAATATACAATTTGAAAAGATATTAGAAATTTTGTTCAAACCATTCTCCACTTAGTACCCCTCAATGGAATAACTTGTATTGATTCTTACACTTTCTCAAATGCATAACATTTTAAACATAACTATTAGCTATGATGTAAAATAACTAACATTACACAAAAATTAAAGCAAAACAACAGCATAAATATAATGGGAACACTATTTTAAAGTGATGTAGTTACATTGTACTCAATTAAGTATAATATTAATTAACAACATGTAACTTATGGTTAGTACTTGTCATGAATAATTTGCTGTTATTACTAAAGTAAGTACATGAAGTAACGTGTAACTACATCACCTTAAAACAATGTGTTACCAAAGACATGAATTATGAATATTCCAATAATAACATGACATGTTTTGATTGTTGAAATCTAATGATTTAGATATTATTGTGTCAAAAAGCAGAACTTTAGCCATTTTTAAAACTAAGGTTTGCAAAGACATTTAAATATCAGTAATTGTATCTAAAACAACAATAGTCGATATTTATATTAAATGTGGACATGCATGCAATTCAAGTGTTTGGTTACTACAGATTCATGATTCTTTTGATTAAAAGCATTGTAATAATGTCATACAATGTTGTGTCTATGCATATATGAGGCTTTTTCTTCCCAAACCAGTACACAATTTCCCCACTGCCTTATTTTGGAGTCAACCATGTGTTCAGTTAAAACCGACTGACCACTGCATGTTCGCAGAGGAGCATAAGATGAAAAAGTCAAATACTGAAGGATAATGTGGAAACCAAATGTCTGGCGTGCGCATGGAGGTCTTGGTGTCCCTTGACAAGAAGGGAAAAAACCCCTCACACAGCTGAAAGGTTTAAAAACGTCTCCATGGAGAGGCAGACGTGATGAACATGCTAAAAAGCCAAACAAGCCAATAAGTGGAAAAAAAATTCCTCCTGGTTCATTAGAGCCACACACTGAGGTTACTTTGTTATGTCTATACGAGGATAAAGAGACAAAAACAAATTCACAAAACCATGGGAGAGTCACAATTTGATTTAAACTCAAATGCAAACCCCTTTCATCAACATTTCTTTACGAAAATGTCAGACACAACAATATTATTTATTTACATCGTCCAACAAGCGATCAAAGCCTAACCTGAGGTGTAAACACGTAAAACGAGACAGTGTATTATAACACAATCATCAAAAGTATGAAAAGGCGCTAGAAAGGGTTAAAAAAGAAACGAAGAAACCAAAATCGGAAAGCAAATTCAACGCGGAAATTAAATTTGACTGCACCATGTTTGACATTACAGATTTGAACCTTTTTCTGCTTAGACTTGACATTATTGATCATCTGTGGGTAATCAATACCATCTGAAACGACCCAATAATGTCCTTTAAGATGGCAATAAGCGGAATAATAAACCGGGTGATGATAATAGCGAGAGATAATAATGATGTTATACCGGAAACGAGTTACCTTTATCGCTTTTTCAGCACATAAATTCAAAAGTTAGGTCACTGATATCGAATTATAACCAACTTGACAGATTAATTTATCGATCGCCCGAGACCTTCATCTAAACCTCCAAAAATAAACATTAACGATGGAAATCACAACTGTACCAACACTGAGCTCGCTATATGGGTCATTAGAGGAGGGGGAAAACAGGACAAATTCGTTGATTCGAATCGTATTTTAATAATCGAATCTGAAACCGTTGGGCTTTAATGCTTTTTTTGGTAACGTAAAAGCGCACGACGTGACGCGTTTGACGCGACGCGGAAAACTAAAAGACCCACGAAGCTTGTTCGATTAAAATCAAGCGTTTTGGGTTGTCGCGTCGCGTCGGCGCTCGTTTGCGGTGTAGATGGGGCTGTTACACCTGTTTGCATTTGGTTTGCATTAGGAGCGTCAGTCTCTATGCAGCACACACACAGCCGAGCCTAAAAATATTACATACAATCCAGTCGAACTGCCTCAAAAGCACTTTACACGATGTCTTACCTCGGTGGGGATAGATCGGGGTCACATCGCAGCTATTATAATGTCTTGATTTCAAGCTTATAGACGCATCCGTGCGCAAGGAGGAGAAGAAATCTCGCCCTTCTACCCCTCTTCTCTCTCCATCTACACGAATCAATCCGCACACACACACTTTCACTGTCCAGGCTCCAGACCCGACCAGCCGAGCACGGAGTCGGCTACGTCGATTGAACCAATTCACCGTGCAACCGCGAGACGCGACCAGCCGAGCACAGATTTATACATCCGTTAATGGACCCTTTTCACAGACTGATGACGCGTTTTACCGGTCATCAACATCTTAAATCCTGCAAAGTTTTTTTTTTATATTGTTTTTCTTTCTTTTTTTTGTAAATGTATGTACATTTGCAACACTATACTGTGTATCATATTACCTTTGCATCAGATTTCAAGAAACTAGTTAAAATTGTTTCTACAGCGGCTGTGGGAGTGACGGTAAAAACGACATCTTTCTCACTTCTGACTGCCGTTATCAATCTGTATTTATTTTTTCCCTTTTGTGAAAGTTGTGAAAACACTATTGTGGAGTTTTTCTTTTGCTATTTGAGCAAATGGGAACACACAAACATAAACATATTTAATGTAGTCTCTCATTCACCACTATAGAAGTTTACCCAACAATGATGACTTCCACCTCTGAGAAACCCCGAAATGTGAAAAGGGTCGATTTACACACACTTTTTATTTTATTTTATTTTATACAGTCCACATCCTCTAATTTTTGCTGTTGGATTAAATAGGCCTACATTTGACTTATTTATTTAACACTATTCTTTGTCTGTTAATTTATATGTATTATTAATCTGCTTTTCGACTTCTTTAAGAACTGTTTTAAGGGCCGCCAGTTTTCTATGGCTGGAATAATAAAACTAATTAAATATTTCTAAAAATATTGTTTAAAATCTTTAACACTTATTTATGTATTTTGCTGCTTTTTGACTTCTCCAAAACAGGAAAAAAAAACGTAGGCTAATGTAGGCTATTGCTTGAATAAAAAAATAAATAAAAATATAAAACTTTTACTAGATAGATATTATTATTATTATTATGATTATGTCTCATTGCTGCAGCTCAACGTCTTTCCTAGTGAAATTAATTATGTGAGACCCTGATTTGTACTGCTAAAAAACTTTCACTGTTCAGACTCGACCAGCAGAGTCTGTCCACTCGATCCCAGAGACCTCTAAAATAGAAATTCCCACACAGCAACAAAACAAGCGATATTTAC